CTCAAAGGGAACATTGGAGGCATGGGCACAAGGCTGCACGTGGGGGATGACACAGCATTGCCCATGCACGGGGATGTGGCCGGAGCTAGAGGGGAGACTGACAGCTGTGGAACAGTGAGCCAGTGTGGCCCGGGGGGCCCTCCACCCTCACAAAATGACTGCAAGAGCCCCCAGCCCACCACGGGGAGGAGCGGGAAGGAGGCAAAGCTGGGGCATTACCTGGCATCCTGTGGGTCCAGCTCCTGGCTGCTCAGACCCAGGTGGCAGAGTGTCTGCCAGGACATCTGGAGGGCAAAGACCCAGGTGTGGGCATGAGCTGGGCTGACGGAGAGGAGGACGAGCACGGAGCTGGCGGCAGGGATGAGGAGCAACACGGCGTAGCTGCCCATGGCTGTGCCAGCAAGGAGACATCCTCCAGCGAGGAGGAATATGTACCTAGAAGAGACCAGATGCCCTTTGGCTGCCTTTTGGGGAAAATGGGGCTTGAAACTCCTGCCAGAGTGTTGACAGTGGGGCTCAGTCTGGGTCCTGCAGCCTCCACTGTCCCCCTATAGCCTGCCTCTTGGCCTCTCATGGGGCTGAGGGATCACTGGGCAATCATAGCTGCAAGCAGGAAAGGGGGGACAACGACTGGGACAGATATTGCTGGCTCTGCCTGGTCCCCATTTAGTCACACCAGAGACAGTCCCCATTCCCTGCCCTGTTCCCCTTGCCCATATGCTCATCCTGGTACACCCCTAAACCCATCTCTCACAACACTGGAGGGTCTGGCCTGGCTGGTTTGTCCTTAATGACCTTGATCTGGCCCCAGTGCAGAGAAGGGGGACCGGGGACAGCTCACATCCAAGTCATACAAATGTCCCTACCCGAGCCAGTGGGGACTTGCTACCATGTGTCCCGCTGCACCTCTGGCCAAGAGAACCCCCAGAAAACATCCACAGGCACGACCCGTCCTCAGCGCAGCAGCAGGGGTGATGACCACGTACCGGGCAGTCAGAGAGAGGCACCCAGAAGCACAAAGATGATGGAAAAGCGCAGCGAAGGGGAAAGCCACCAGCCGGTATGGGGCTGCAGGAAGGACAAGCAGGTCTGCCCAGCACATCGAGCACCTTGCTTCTTCAGCTGCCTCTGATGCCTGGAGAAAGGACTGAGCCAAGGGTTCGCTCCTCTTTATATATGGCTGGACCTCAAAAACACAGAGCAGAGCCAAGGAAACAGAGGTATCTGCAGGAAGAGGAGCGTGTTTTTTGCATTCATCAGTGCTGGCTCCTTAAAGCACCTCTATCCCAAGGTTTGTGTGTAGGTGGAAAAAGTTGGGGTTGGTTATTTGCTTTGCCAGACGCCTGAGCCATTACCACATAGTTTGAAGGCAGCGAGAGTGAGCTGCCAAGATAAGAGCCTTTTTGAGCTGCCATATGCTGTGCTGGGATGCACCTCAGAGAAAAATCCCCAGGTACTCCAGAGGCTTGGTCCTTTCTCTTTGCTGCCTCTCAGCTCAGTCCTTCACAGAAAGCTGTGGCTTCTTCCTAGCTCTGGCCTCACTTGTTAAGGGGTCGCGGTGGGGACGTCCTGGTATTTAAACCCCTGATGACAGAAAGGAGAGGATGGGTTTTGCCACTTCTCAGTGCCAAAGGAGGGTAAGCCCCTCAGCCCCACCACTCAGTCCAAGCTACAGGGACTTTCTATTTACCAGAGATAAAGGAATAGCTCTATTCTCTCCAAACAATTTTTATTCTTTAAACGGTACATTCATTAAAAAAACATGTCATACAAGAAAGCAAATGGTCCTCTTTTGGACTAGACTTGAAAGGTGATTTGAAGAGTCATCTCTAGGGTGACGTGAAGCCAGTCCATAATGCCATATACTCTCATCATGCCACCAGCAGTATTTCATGCTAAACAGACAAAAAAGCCCAAGAAAATCTGTCTATGGGATTTGATTCTTCTTCATGATATACAACTAAGAAAAAACAGACAAATTCAAATGGAAAGCTCATGGATTTTTTAAAAAAACGCAGTTGATATTTGCTTAATTTTAGGCACATGAACAGTGTGACTGCAAAGAGGATTACCCTGGAATTTCCTCCTGGAAGAAAAAGAATAACATAGTGGAGGGGTAGAAGAAGTAAGGTTTTCCCCTTCCTTTGATGAATGCTTTAAAATATTTAGATTAGCCTGTTTTTCAACAAAAAGAGCAAAATTGGTGCCTAAAGTTACAGAAAGATCGGTGATCATTAAAAAAAAAAAAAAGAAAGATTTCTTTTTAAAATATATCGAGTCTCACTTTTATGGATGTTTCTACTCTTCACTGAGCTTTTCAAGCTATCGCTATGTTGGGAAGCTTACCCCATTGTTTGGATGGGTTATTTGGTTAGAACAATGTGGGAGATCAAAACCTCATGGAAAAAAGTATTAGAGCAAATGCTACAGAGAAATTGTATTTGTGCAAGGTATATTTTAAGAACAATCAATAGCACTGGAGAGAAGCTTTTTCCATGTCAATTTTGGCATGCATGGCATGCAGCAACAGCCTGGTTTCACAGGACTCATTCTGCCAAATCCATGGAGCCCAGTATTGACTTTGCTGAGTAAATATTTTTGAAGGCCTTTGCAGTGCCTGCTTAAGCAATTCTCTGCTATGGTTCTGCAAAAATGTCATTGCTTTTCAAGAAGCAGAAATGAATTTCCACAGTATCATTGGAAATGTTATTACACTGCTCATGCCTCTCATTTTATATCATCAGATGCCGGGTGGTGGAAGTGTGATCTTACAGCGAGCATGTGAGCCATAGTGAAGCATGTGAGAGAGCCAGATACGACTCAGATACTAGCTTTGGGCTAGTATCCGGAAAGTTTATAGTTGCTTTCTTGGTGGAATATACTGCTGGTTTGGGAACAGTTTTGGTTGCCTATTGTAATGCAGCCTATACTGATCTGCTGCAGGACACACTGGAAAATGAAAGACAAGCATTGAAAGCAAAAAAAAATTAAAGAAAAAGTCAGGCTGACACAGTTTGTCTTTTCTCTAGAGAAGAGCACATAAATTGGGAGGCCTTTAAACAGGATTCAGGAGGCCTGGACTGAGCTCCTGTCTCAGGCTTTCTCTGTCACCTTAGGAAAGCTGCTCAACCACCATCCGTAACCCAGAGATGATGGGTTTTGTCCTCCTGTGGTGGTATAAGGCAGAATCAACTACAAACCTTGGGACTTTATGTTTGGCTGTCATAGGCAGGACATGAAAGGACCATGCTGGCTTTTTGCCATTCCAAATTTGCTGACCACTGCCTGTAAATGGCCTGCTGCTGCTTGTGGCAAAGGCCTTTTTGTCTCCCTGGATAAAGGGCTGCATTCCAGTAGTTTAAAGACAGTGCAGCTGTGACCCCACTCATGGAGGTCTGAAGTTGTGCCTGGGGAAGGGGGAGGAAAGGTATTTCCATAAATGCTCATGTAATTTCTTCTATCTTCTGTGCTTCTCAATACCCAAATCAGTAATTAAACGTGTATGTTAATTGGCAATAAATTAAATTAAGGGAAACTTCTGCAAGTCACTTTTTTGCCTGCAATATGGCCCTGCTACTCTGGAATTCAGCCACATCAGCTGAACTTAGTGCAGGTGAGGGATCAGCCCTGTGCCTTTCCCTGTGCCAAGGTGATTTATTTTCAAGGCAGAATCTTACTAGGAACTCCTTTTGCTGTTGAGACCAAGGCCAGATGGATCCTCTTGTACCTCCTAAGGTTTTGGGACATTTAGAACAGGGACTGACATCACTGGAGACCATCCTCTGCATTGGTTCCCCTTAACCTCACCACAGAACTCCTGAGACAAGAGGTGTGCAGCTCCAAGGACCATGCACAGTAGCCAGTGATGGGAAGAAAAGGTCTTGGGCTGCATGCTGTTCCCCTTCCATTCCTGTTCACATGGTATGCAAGTCCTGCAGAGAGCCAGTTCTTATCCTGGCATCTCCTTTTGGAGATGGCAGGAGCAGCTGCAGCTTTTCTGATCCTTGTTATGAAACCAGCAGATCAACTGCTGCTTTGCCACAGAGATAAAGTACCTGGGTATGATCTGCATTGCCACGGGCTGCTGGAAAAAGCAGATGTCCTAACACCCTCAGGATGATCCTGATTCCTTCATGACTGACTTTTTTCCCCTTTAGCCTTCACAAAGAACAGACACCAACATATGCTGAAGAAGCAGAGTTGCTTCTTAGGAGAAAACACAGCAGAGTGGTAAACCAACAGTGCAATAACAGGATGGGATGTGTCGGAGGGATGGAGCTGCCCTGCAAGCACAGGGGAGATGCCAGGGGCAACCCAGACTTTCCAGCACACTCAGGTAGCCCCAGTGTGCAGAGCATGCCAGCACTGGCATTGCTGCTCTGGGACTGCTGCTCAGATCTGTCTCCCCAAGATGGGTGCCACCTCTCCCATGCTCTTCAGAGCTTGTAGTGCAATGCTCATAGGGTAAATCACAGTCACGATATTTTTCTCTCTGTGTCAGGGTGATCTGAGCTGCCAGAGAACAGATGGAGAGGCTGGAGTATTCCTACAAGCCTTGATGAACCAAGGTAAGAAAGAAACAGAGCAGAGATCAAATCCGCGTACTTGCAGAGACCACAGGCATTCCTTCCTGAGAGGGTCAGCCCACCCTGCTCCTCCCATGGCCAGGAGGGAGCAGAGTGGAGGAGTGAGTCTGCTGGAGCTTCCCAGGCCAGGAATTCCCCAAATGCCTTTGAAATACCCCAAATCCTCTCCAGTGTACAGGGAACAGAGCTCTTCTCACTGGGGCAGGGCTGAGAGTTTGAGCTCACCAGTCTGTGGAGGGCCCCCCAAGTGCCCTTCTCCTGAATTCCAGAAAAGGAGCACCTCAGTTATTCAAGGCACATGAGGAAGAGATATCTTGGACAGGGAGCAATTGAAAAGAATCAGGAATATCACTTGCTGCACTTCTTTTCCTCTTTAGTGACAATTTCTGAGTGCATTTGGGCTGCCTTTTTGCAGCAGCACAGCACCTGCATGTTAAGACTTCCATCAGAGTCCTCAGGACTCCTTGGGCAATGGGACCAGAGCAGAGATGCAGGTGCTGGGCTGCGTTAGACAGTGTTGCCAGCAGGTCGAAGGAGGTGATCCTGCTCCTCTGCTCAGCACCAGTGAGACGCACCTGGAATTCTGGATCCAGAGATGGATCCCAGACAAGAGACACATGGACATACTGGAGAGAGTCCAGCAAAGGGCTGCTGCTGCTGAAGGGCCTGGCACATCTCTGATAAGAGGAAAGGCTGGGACTGTTCGGCCTGGAGGAGTGAAGGCTCAGGTAGGGGGAGCTTATCAGCGTCTCGATAAGTACTGATGGGGAGGAATGAAGTCAAGGGAGCCATGCTCTTCTCAGTGGTGCCCAGTGACAGGATGAGAGGTGATGAACACAAGCTGAAACACTTGAAATCCCATCCAAACCCAGGAAAATACTTGTGTGTGTACATGTGTGGATGTAGTGTGTGTGTTGTGTGTACGTGCTTGTGTATTGTGTGTGCGCGTTGTGTGCATGTTTTGTGTTGCAAGTATGGTGTGTAGTTGTGTGCACAGTGCATGTTTTGTGTGCTTTGTGTGTTTGCACGTGTGCGTGTGTTGCGGTTTTGTGTGTGTTCAGTGTGCGTGGGGTGGTGGTTCAGGGCTGTGTGTGGCCCCAGCCAGTGCTCAGCTCCATGGGGGTGCCAAGAGGGCTGAAGAGCAGCCTCAGCCCCAGAGAGGCCCCAGATGGGGTGAGAGGGGAGATGTGGAAGAGAGGAATGTGGGGCACTTGAGGGTTTATGGGGCAAGCATGGGGGAAGTTGGGAGTATCCAGGGGGTTATGAGGCATGTGGGAGGTTGAAGATCCTGCAGGAGCTATGGGACATCCAGAAAAGCAATGTGACACCCAAAGCGTCAGGATGCCAGGGGGAGAAAGTTGGGTGCACATCCAGGGGATCAAGGG